GGAAAAGCCCAAGAACAATCTACCGTATACGTGGATTGGTATCTTGATTTTGCAGAAATACAGTATATAACCTGCAAAAAATAAGGAATCACCTTGCTTTTTTCAATTCAATTCAATTCAAAAATACTTTATTGATCCCAGAGGGAAATTAGGTTTTATGTTATTTAATTTTATGTTATTTAACACATTTATTGTGTTGTATGATGACATTGACTGGTCATCTGTTATTTTTACGCACATTKTACCTTAGAAGCTGACCTTTTCTATTAGTTTCAACTTCTTTGCTCTTTTATTTGAACTTTTTWAACTGTACTCTACCACCAGTAGCAAGGCTTTGTAACAGCCTGGGCACATTAAACATCCCYGTTGCTTTTCTTCAGTGTCAGATTTGTTTATCCGTCTCCTAAAGCCCGTGATTGAAACCTTGTAAAACTTGTAGCACACACAGTCTGATTTACTCGACCTTCTGCGTTGCAGACACAGTGACAGATCAACCGAATATGCAGATAATATGTTGCATATTTAAAGCGAGCTGCAGGCATGACTTTATTTACACTCTTTTTACTTCAACCATCTGGGGAGCAGAACAGTCTTTGCCAAATCTACACAACAGGCTTGACTTTGCTGATGTGTGGACGGGCGGGAGGGGTTGGTGCGGGATCAGTTTTACCCTTGGAGAGCTGCCTGGCTTTATGGGATAGACAGCACAGAGAGCGACTCCTAATTCCCTACGGAACGCCTGGCTCTCTCTTGTTCAGGCAATAAAGTAGAGGCATTTGCTCCAAATCGGTTCGGGACGCCGTCATCCGCATGACAAATAGCCATTAAGCCCAACCAATCATAAACCCCCAATGCCAGTTGAATACACTCGCAGTGACATAAAAAGAGTGAGACGTCTCGCTAATTAAAGCGCCTGGTTCTGCGCTGGGCTGTCGTCGCCGGGGCCCATTATCAGGTCTAAACACGCACACGATGAAATTTGCGAGGCCCCCACAATCTTCTCTGCCACTCGTATAACTTGAACAAAGCAAATTGTTCTTTGAAAATGATAATGAAGTTTAAAAAATAAGTTGGAAGAAGAAATGTCATTTCCCACATAGAGTTTTGTTAAAAAATGGAGTATTGTCTCGATGCTGAGCGGTGTCGAATGCTTCAAGCCAACTTTCTTTTCTGAAATCACTCTTAGAAGGCTTTGTAGTGTCGTTTTACTGAAACGTGGTTTAAAGTTGGCATCAGAAGTTTACATACACTCATCATGAGCTTTTAATAATTATTTTTTTCAAACCTTCTTTCTTCACAGTGGAATGATTATACAGCACCATTAGTATGATTATACAGCTCCAGTCAATTCTGAAAACAAGAATTGAGTACACGAGTTTGTAATCATAATGGATTTTTCTAATCTGTACAGGGTCACAATTATACAGACATGCTCAAATATACAGTGTACCAGGGCTTTTCAACTAGTCACATTTGGCTCGCCAATGAGCCCCACCCATGCCAAAAAAACTTTATTTTAAATTTAATCTGTATAAAAATCAATTGTTAGTTTCAAATTTACAATTTAATGCAACTAAATGAACAGATAAAAGATAATAGTACTTGGTATTTTACATAATACTGTATCAGGGAACCCCACCCTCCCATCCCAGCTGTTGGCTGTAAGTGTAGCCCCTCAACAATTCAGTTAGGTATTCCTGTAGTATACTTCCTACAAAATCTTAAAAGAAGTACTGCTGAAACCTCTGAATATCACTTACTTTGACCTTTTAAAGGGATCCATGATTACCGGTAGTTGTAACATTAGACTTTATTTAATAAACAAATTTTTTAACTGTAAAATAAAGACTGTAAAAATACTGTAGGCTGTTTAGTTTTTTATCATTTTTAAACTAAAAGTTTAAAATATATTACACGGATGGGGTCATTTTATTTACACACAAAGCATTCTGGGTAAATGATGACGGGGATAGGTCCTCGGTGCGAGGCTGCTAGCGAGCTATACCCACCATGAAGGTTAACCTTGGACAATATCTGACGATCGGCTCTTTTAAATGAAACCAGAGAGCGTTGACAGAGAGGAGAAGGTAGAAATGACTCAGCCTGTAACTGAAAATATAGATGGAGGACAACAGAGCTGCTTCATGGAAGAAGAACCTCAGCTTTGCCTGTTAGCTTTAGCATTAGCCCAGATGTTATCACCATATATATATGTATTCGCTCAACGCTACACATTCTCCTCTCGTCACTGAGGTCCTCCATTCACATGACAGAGGGGAGAACGCAAAAGTAACTCAGCCTGCTGAAAATATGGATGGAGGACCTCAGTTTAGCTTGTTTGTCACGCTAGCACAGAGCTAATACATATAAGGCAATATAGCATCAGTGCTAGCACAAAGGCTAACAGGCTAAGCTGAGGTTCTTCTTCCATGAAGCAGCTCTGTTGTCCTCCATCCACATTTGCAGTTACAGGCTGAGTCATTTCTACCTTCTCCTCTCTATCAACGCTCTCTGGTTTCATTTAAGAATCGATCATCAGAAATTGTCCAAGATTAATCTTCAGGGTGGATATAGCTCGCTCACACCGAGAACCTATCCATGTCATCATTTACCCAGAATGCTTTGTGTGTAAATTTACAAAATTAAACAGCCTACAGTATTTTTATAGTCTTTATTTTACAGTTAAAATATATGTTTATCAAATAGTCTGTTACAACTAATCAGGGATCCCTTTAAGGACTAACTTCTTACTGGTGATCATGAATGACTTTCGCTGGTGGATTTTCTTTGCCAACATGAAAGAAGTTTGTTTAAAAGCACCCATTGGGTTGAGCAATACTCATCTGTCAGGCTCAGATAAAAATAAGTGGGCCGAGATGTTTGGGGACACTCCAGGAACCACCAAGACTCAAGCTTACCAATGTTGCTAGTGTTCAAGCTGCCCCACGTGGACATCCCAAATACCTTATATGGGAAAACTTTATCACAGAAAAGACAAAGAATGAGTTATTTGGCCAAAGTCCCAAAAAGTATGTTTGAAGATGTCAATGTAAGCCTATCAAACCAAGGAAGCCTCATAATGTGGTACTGATGCACTACACAAAGTGGATGTATTATTGAGGGAAGAGGTCCACATAGAAGTTCTTCATCTCCACCTTGCATCAAGAGCTAGATGGTTGAAATTTGGATGCAACCCTGTGTACTGACAGGACAATGATCCCGAACACATGTCAGAACTTGTTTTTGTCTACTGAGGTAGACTGACACCAAGCTTCTGTGATATCCTTCCCAAAGCCCCAACCTCAAACCTGTTAAAATATTGTGGTCTGTGTCTAAAACCTGGGTCCTCACCAAGAAACCAATCAATTTAAATTAACTCTACCAATTCTACCAAGAAGTATGCAGTCAGATTTATGACCAAATCTTGTTGATAGCTACAAAAAGCATGTGGTCAGTGGGGGATTTTGTAAGGGATATTTGGCAAAATATTAATGAAGGCAAATCAGGGGTCTTGTTAACTGAACATTTTCTGTATTTGACTGTTTTGACGGAAAAATCTGAAGGCCATCTGTCTTTTTGACAGATTGCAATTTACATCCCTGTCCAGATGGTTGCAAGTTAGCATATTAATTATCTGTTCTCTCATTTGATGCATGACCTTGGTGGCTTCACTTAAGAATATGTCACAGCAGCTGAGTGTCCGAAGTTTGTTCAAAACACTCAAGAACAATGATGGCGTTAAGAAAAGCAGTGGGAAAAAAAGTGTGGCAGAAGAGCTCAAATTCATCCTCCAGAACAACATCAAGACAACCATAACCATGAGAAGTCATCTGTCCTAAGCAATCATGACAATAACCACTGTAGCAAGCCCCAGGAGGTTAGGTACCATGGACAGCTCCAGACTCAGAACCAGTGTAGAGGGGCTTTGGTACCACGGACAGCTCCAGACCCAGGAACAGTGTAAGGGGGTTTGTTACCACGGACAGCTGTAGTAAAACAAACACACTAAACCAAACAMAAGATACTTTTCCCATGGGCTTCAGGGGTTAAAATGACATAAATAGTTTTTTTAAAACAGCATGGGTTTATGAGGGGGTCATTGGAAAATATTCACCCTTGTAAGTGGTCCCCAGACCCAAAATGTTTGAGAATCCATGGCTTAAGACATTTGATTATGCATTAGTGGACCAGGAGAAAGGTGTAAGACTGTACGTTCACGACAGGTGATCTGTTCATATATTAAGTACAAAGGTTTAATGCCATTATTTATATGGGTTATTGGGACCACAGTCAATTTTTTTTGYTACTGCAGAGAAAAAGTTACGTGTTCATGTGGTTGATGTGGATTATCTGTTCAGCTTGTTCTGACTGAATATTCATTAAAATGAATGTTGAATGTTTATCAATTTTAAAAATAAGGTGATGTGTAAAATCAGATTGACTGGAATTTTTTTTATCCTGTCAGTCGAAACAACAAACAGTACAAGTGTAGTGCAACATCTGGGGCAGATGTACATAATTGGACATGAATATAATTTTAACCTTTTTGGGTAGGAACAATCTCCAATAAATTCACACTTGTGTACCAAATTTTTATTCTTGAAAATTGTTGAAATCTTAGGTTCAAATCAGTCGTTTAAAGCCCCACATAATGACATTTATGTTAAAGTGAATGTAAATGTCTGACTGCAAATGCATGCAACCAGAATGTTTTGTGCTCTGAGTTCTGACATGTATGTTTCTGTGTCCAACAGGTCAACGTAGACCAGGTGCAACAGATGGAGAGGGAGAATAGCTTCATTACACGCTGGAATGAAAAAAAGGACACTTCGGTAAGTCAACCCACATAACCTGAACGGAGATGTATTTCTGTGTGAGTGTGCTCACATTGATTTGCYTGCACGCATCAGGGACTCAAACGTTGGCTTCATTTGAGCAGAATTTTCGCTTTATTTTTTTCTTTTTTTTTCCCTGGCAGAATCRAGGGGTGGGAGAAGCAGGGCTTTGTACTTGTTGACCTTTACAGCAGGTACTTTATGCCTGAACGACGAGAAAAACACTCAGTTCGGATAACTAGGTAGAAAATTAAATCCCATGGCGCCACTGTTGTTGAAATCTAAAATAAGCTGTTTATGATGGCTCCTTTCTGCCTCCATCCAACATGTTTCATAGCATGTCTGCTGTTTTCAGTCCTGAGGGTTACTCAGTGGAAAGCTGGTGCTATTATAAAGCTCATCATGCTGAACATTGGTGACGTTTAGATAATGGTTTTGAATTTGCTGGTTTAGAGTTATCTTTTTTCCTTAAATAAGAAGCATTATTTACAGAATTTGCTCGTCAATGGGGAGATTTTTGTACAAAATTATAATCTYTATTTGGATAATACAGTTTTTATATTAAGGATGGTTTAGCACAATGTCGCTAATTCTTGATTTAATGACACATTAATCATCATATTTTAATTTTAATTTATTTCTATCAGTTATGACTACTTAGTGCCGTCTGTTGTGAAGGCCAGTGCTAACTTCTCCATCTGTAGGGGTCAAGGAACACCAGCCAATGAGCCGTCGTGGCAAATGCTCATTTGTTGGCAAAAAGTTGAAAGCTGTACTRTTCTTTGTTCATCCACTTTATTGGAAATGCCTTCTGGTGGCTCTCTGAGTTTGGAAATAATACAAAGAAAAGTTYAAAGCTTAAAATGTAATTTTCCACCCACAGATTTACAAAGGTTGCACTTAGTAGTGTTTGCTTTCATTTTATTTAAAGACAGTGTATCTAAATGTTATATAAGCTGTTAGGGCTGGGCGGTATGACCTCAAATTCATATCACRGTATAAATTGAATCCCTTCACTGTAACGGTATATATCGCGGTAGAAAATTATCATAAAAAGTAAAGATAATGTAATTTTTAGAGCTTTTTTTGCAGAAAACTAATCTTAATCAAACCCAGCATTTTTGCTTTATTATCAGCCTGCCATACAATGAGCTTCTGCCTGCTGAACTTATCAGCTGCTGCTCTGTTGCGTGTCTTCATCATCAGAGCAGAAACCGACTTTACATTAGCAAGATGGATTTATGACTGAACGAACGTCAATGTCTTTTTTTATCCTCTCTGTGGGTAACAATACATAAAAACAAGTTTTTTCTCCGACAACTCGGGTGTGAAAAACCTGTTGTTATTAAAGCTTCGCTCTCTGCGACGTGGAGGGAGAGAGGAAAGAAATGATCCTGACGTAACTTTTCTACAGCGGGAGGGGGAAATTTTGAGGATTTATTGTCTTTACGCATTTTAAAACGCTATAATTTTTTCATTTTATTTCGAACTCCTCCTGCCCAGTTGTCTCTGCACTCGCAGCCCTGTTCACACAGGTGCGATGACGTAATGACGACAGGACGGTAGAGTAAAAATTTCTACCGTAGGCCAACTTCATACCGTTTCTACCGTCTACCGCATATACCGCATATAAGCTGTCAAATAAATTATTACTTTAGCAAACTTTTCATCTTTGKTCTACTGATAAGTGATTGTAAATACAGATGTCCTTGGCAGGAAAGGATACTCAGATGCATCCTTCATTTTTGAGATTTTGTGGGCTGCATTTGAAGGAGCCTACAAATTAGGGCAGCCTGTGGCACGGCGCAGTGGTGTTTRTGGCCAACAAATGCACACTCAGGAGGATACATAGCTAGACAAAAAAGTGGCCAAAGCTAATGTCAAACTGCTAATATAAGGCATATTGTTCAGTTCCGCAATGTGCCAGTAAAAACAATGTACTCCATACATACTTGGGTTTTGATTTTGAACATGTCACCTTTTACACATCCTGCGTCAGACCTTTCACTCATGGTGTCAGTTTTACGCCATCAGCGTGCTTAACTTTAACACAGATATCAAACCAAACCTAAATGTGTAATGTGACAAACACAAGTCAGCACAATTCCAAATGTTTTATCGCTGATAAAAACATGCGTGTCTCACTTAGAGATGAGTTTGGAGAAAATGGATTATTTCAGTAAAACCAGGAGGCGGAGCTACAACTCTGCTGACTGACAGACAGGAAGGGCTAGACG